TACCATAAATACTATTTGAAGGATCATACCTGATACCCAAATCAATATGCTCTTGAATACCGAAACCAAAGCATCCAGTATAGGGGTGATCATTTCAGCTCAGTCCGAGCCCGGGCCCATATCAGGCCTGCAAGTTTTAGGGTTGGGTTTGGGCTTAATACTTTAAGCACAGCCCGACCCACATATATTTAAACTTACACATCTTGTGTATAATGTATACACATGTATACATGTTATTTTACATTATATTATATATTTTATATATAAATATTATAACATGACATGTATAATTTATATTATATGTAATATTTTATATTATATAATACATAAAATAAAAGTTTGTATGCATGTTATGTCATTTAATATAAAAATATTATAGATATGTAATGTTTTATATATGAAAGGCATTGGTCTGGAATCAGGCCCGGCCTAGCCCGGGCCCATGTAGACCTAGGCTAGGGCTTATGTTACAGGCTCGGAACCCTAGGCCGGCCCGAACCCGGGCCTAAGCTATAGCCCTTATCATAAGTGCAAAACCCAGCCTAGCCCATGATCACCCCTACTCACTGAAGTTCCTCCTCAACCGCTCATATTCCTTGACATTCAACCCACTCTCTAGAAGTTGCATCACCTTCTCACCCCTGACTAACATGGAAAAACTTTAGCTGTTGGGGGCCAACAACCCTTCCTATTGAGAGAGTTTCTAGGTTGGTCATGTTACCATAAGAGTGGGTAATTAGTAATTGTCCATTGATTTATTTTGAGTGAAAATAAAAGCATGCCCGTGAATTGGTGAATTGTCGTGAACGTGTCCAACCCAAAAACTCTCTCAACAAGAAAGGATATTGGCTCCCAACAGCCAAAGTTAACCCTGACTAACATGGCATGCAATGATGCAACCCCGAATTCGAGGTGGGTAAGGCAACCTAGTGGGTTGATCATTTACGGAGGGATTGGGAGCAGTGAAATAGAAGTAGGAATGGCAACGAGGTGGGGCAGGGCCGGGTTTTTCCTGCCCTGTACCCAACCCCAAATTCAAATTCCCAGCCCCTTACTCACCCCGAATACCGACAGAGCTAAAAATCCTAATCCCATCCCCATTCCCTACGGATCCCCGACTTTGCCCCGCCCTATCTCGGTGATTCTTACTTCTATACTTATTAATTATTTTTTAAACTTACCTAGAACTATTTTATACTATGTAATATATATAATGTTATATAATATAGTTGGGGTTGGGGCGGGGTCCTCTTCCCAATCCCAGAGTTTCGGTTTTCTCCTAAACCTGACCCAAACCCCGACCAATGGTAAAAAAACCTGCCACGATCAGGGTGGGGCAAGGTGGGGCCCATGGGTTTGAGTCAAATTTCCATCTCTAGATACAAGAAACCCTTGCAAGCACAATTGGTTCTAATTCTTCTAGTTCATGCCATCAATAAAACTGTAAAAAATTAATTCATTCATCATTTAGGGGTATTTTGGTCATATATATTATTTATTTGCTTACATAGATTATTTTTGTTAATGATCCTTAACTATAATATGATGGAAGGTGAGTTTTGGAAAATAAAAACTCTTTGACATGGGGCTCGGATGTTTTGAAAAGTTGTAGTGAGTTTAAGAGAAATCTATACTACTTTAAAAAGCACAAATGACCTCAAGAATATTTCTGGAATTTTTTGAGGACAAAATTTACCCCTATACATTTAAATTTATTGATAAAAAGTGAGGGCAAATAAGGCGATCGGTTATTGATATTAAATGAGTTGAAAAGAGGTAATTTTATGATATTCAATGCATTCAATTCCCTCTCAATAAATCCAATATTTAATTTATTAACTTGCATTCATTTTCAATGAATCTTATATTTAAGTTATTTTTGTTTATTCTCATCATTGAGTTCTATTAATTAAATCCATACTTAATAAATTAATAATTCCAATAACATAACAACTTATACTTTTAAATCCTAGAAAAAATAGAGCTTTCATCTAGGTGGTGGTAAGAAATTAAACCGTTTTGGGTCAAATGGGTTAATCCATGTTGCCACAATTAAATAATAAAATTTTTAAAAAATAGAAATTAAAAATATTGGAAACATTTTTAACATACATATTAAACAATAATAAGTATGATAAATAAGAAATGTTTTTTATTGATGATGGAAGTTGAATGTAAAATTTAAAACCAATTGAAAATAAAAATATTTTCCTATCCTGAGTCATTAAATCCTATATTTAAGATATATTTTTCTCATCATGAAATTCTTGTAATTAAACCCACAACATTAATTTTAATAGTATAAAAATAAATGTTTTGAAAAGTAATTTGAAAACAAAACCATTTTCTTCCCTCCTAGTGGTGGGCAAGAAATTCAATTATTTGGAGTCAAATGGATTAATAAATAATTTCATAATTAAATAATAAAAAATTTAAAATAAATAAGTATGAAATATAATAAGTATTTTTATTAATGATGAAAATGGAATGCCAAATTTAAAATCTACCAAGAAATGAAATAATGTCATAGTCAATTAATATATTTTTTAAAAATAAAAAATACAAAGAATCACAAAAATAATAAAAAAAAAGATAGAGAAATTTTTGGGCACATATATAATGTTATATATTTATAAAAAATAAAATATTGGGTACATCTCTAATATTATACATTCATTATATTGAACAAAAATAAGTATTATACATAAGATTTTTTTTTCAATGATGGAAATGTAATACAAAATTTAATGTCAACCTAGAAATCAAACTATTTTTTTTTTTTGGTGGTGGGTTAGTGGTTTGGGTCAAATGATATCATGGACAAACAAAAATTAAGTGTGATAGGTCAAAATTATTTATATAATGTAAATGAAATATATAATTTAAAGGAAAACTATAGTCAAAGCCGGTTATACATTTAAAATTAGGTTGTAGGTTGGTCCAAAAACCAACAAAACTTTGACAACCGACTCTACATTTCAAATTATAAAAACCCATTCCATGTCATCAGAGCCTTATGTGGTTGTAGACGACATGGGACTCTTAATCCTTGTTGGACACAAAAAAGAGCCTATTCCAAAAATAGGTTTTCAATTTCTCTCCTGCTTCCTCAGTCTCTCGATCTCCCTCAATTATCTCTCACTCTCGCAGTCATCTCTCAATCACTCACTCTCTCAGCTTTGGTATGTAGCCAAATCAAACCTACCCCTCTCTCTCTCTCTCTCTCTCTCTCTCTCTCACACACACACACACACACACACATTCTTCTTTCTCACTCTCCATCTCGGTTAATATCTCTTCTCCCTCAATCTTTCTCCCGCTACCTTTCTTGTTTTGTTTTTTATTTTTTCTTACAAACTTTTATAGTATTAATCAAACCGTATAAAAGAACTAAAGGGACCAACCACTTGTACAATCAAGTTGGTGTAAATTTCATAGCTAGTAGTTTCTTATGAACTTTTATCAAATTGGTGTAATGAATTTTGAACTATACCAAGTTTGATCACATGTTCTTTTATACAATCCGATTAATACCATATAAGTGTGTAAGAAAAAAAAAATAACAAGATAATGAGTGTGAGAGAAACTGAGGGGGAATGATATAAATTACAAGTGAAGGAGATATTAACCGAGAAAGAGAAAAAGAGAGATTGGGAGAGAACGATAGGTAGAGAAAGAATGAGAGAAATTAATAGAGAAAATGCAAATATAAAAATTGAAAACCATTTTTATTTGTTTTCAAATCACACAGTCATTGAGCAGAGAGAGACGACTCTATGAGAGAAAAATGACTCTGCGAGAGAAAAACGACTGTGTGTGTGTGTGAGAGAGAGAGAGAGAGAGGGGGGGAGAAACTAAAAACCATTTTATTATTTTCCAGTCACCTAGCATTAAAGGGCAATTTCAGTATAAGCTTTGTGTTATGTCCAACATGGATCAAGAGCCCCATGTTGGCAATAGCCACATAAGCCTCCAATGACATGGCAAGGTTTTTTTTTTATAATTTGAAAAGTAGAGTCCATTTTCAAAGTTTTGTTGATTTCTAGACTAACCTGTAGCTTAATTTTAAATATATAGTCAATTATGACTATAATTTTCCCTAATTTAAAACTAATTTGAAAACAAAGTTATTTTCTTATATAGATGGTGGGTCAATAATCCAACTTTTCTAAGAAACCCATGATGTCATAATTGAATAATAAATAGTTAATAAAAGATAGAACACCAAAAAATGAAAATGTACAGAATTTTGTCAAGAACATTTTGAGAACATTTCTAATGTTATATTCATCATATTAAATGAAAATAATTGTTAAAATAAAAGTTATTTTTATTTATGATAGAAATGGAACACAAAATATAATAATAATAATAATAATAATAATAATAATAATAATAATAACAGTTATTTGGTATAAGCATTTAAGTTTATTTTTAATTATATTGTTACTTTTGTTAATTTTCAATTTCTATCTTAACTATGATATATCTAAAATTCAAGTAATTAATCTGAAAAAAAAATTCTCACATGCAATGCATGTACTTAATCAGTAGTGCTAAAAAGTGATGGAATAGTGAGTTTTAAACAATTTCCTTATAATAATATAATATAATATATTAATATATATTATGTTGTATAATATAATTGGGGCAGATGGACAAATACCATCCCCCTTCCCCAGAATTTCAAGTTTTCCCAAACGCCCCCCAAACCCCGATCAGTAGTAAAGAAACTGCCCTATCAATAAAAGGGAGGGAAAGGTCTTTTATAGGTTTCTCTATATTTTATTTCTTTCCCTATATTTTATTTCAAACCAAATACAACTATACAACCTAGAAGCGTTACGTTGCTTGCGCCACGGGAGTGAGCGAGACAGCACGACAAAATCCTTTTAAGGGCTGTTACGTCTTCTTATTTTGTGATTTTAGGCTGTCGTGGCGCTCACTCCCCCTGATGTTAGCACAGGTCTTACAAAGAAGCGGCAAATTTGTTTTTGGGAAAATTTTGTTGGAAGCCGCCTTATTTAAAATGAGTGAGTGAACCAGGGGCGGGAGGAGCGGAGCAAATTCTCCAAACATATCCTTTGTGGCTTCTCTTTGCCTTTCACTTTCTTCCCGCCATCCATTCGTCTTTGGAAATTGTAACTTGGAAGCGAGGGATTGTGGGAGTTTGAGATTTTTTTTTTTTTCTGATCCTCTGAACCGCTAAGATCGAGAGAGGTATGCAATCATTTTCTCTAACTGTTTTCTAGGATCCCGCTTAATCGATTTCGAATGCAACTTATTCCATTTTGGTACATCTTGAATTACTTGATTGTAAGTAGCAAGGTTTTGGCCTTTAAGATCACGTTGGTTGAATGAGATTTTTATATACAATTATAAGAAGTAAAAATGGATTCTTCTGCAATTTCGTAAGGTCGAATTTGGTTATGAAGACACTAAAACTAGTATCGGTTGTGAAATGAAGTGAAAACCTGTAAATACAAATGGGCTTTAACATAGATGTGAACGGATGCAACATAGAGGTTGGCGGTTTGCTCTGGTTACTAGAATATTGAATGTACGTGTTAGGTAAATACTTTCTTTTTCCCTGAAACCCTCATCTAAGGAAATTTTTAGGGTTTTCATTAAGTTGTGGTGGTGTATTTAGAAGTGTCAATCTTGGGCTATTCGTTCAGTCTCGTCGCGGCGTCGTCCAAAAAAATGGAATATCGAAGAGGAATTGAAAGTGGATGTAGAAGCCTTAATTTGTTACTTTATTTTAGAGAGTTTTTCTTTTCGTTGTTTTTTTTTTTTTGCAATTTTTTTTTTTTTTTTTTTTTTTTTTTTTTTTTTTTTTTTTTTTTTTTTTTTTTTTTTTTTTGGGGGGGGGGGGGGGGGTAGAAGGAAAAAGAAATTAGCTTCTAAATGTGACTAAAATTATAGTACTGAAATGTGATCCGACTTTTATGATGAAAACATGATTAAGGTATGAATCGGTAATGGGGTAATGGGGCCGTTACATTAAGATTGCTGTCTGTTTAGGGTTTGCAATTTTAGATTATAGGGAAATGTGGTTACCGGTGTTCAGTTTTTCTTCAAGTCAATTTTTTAAAATATCAGAACCTTAGGGGAGTTCTGTTGATGTAAGTTTTATAGAACCAAAAGAAAATAAATTAGGGAAGGGGTGGGAATTAGATATTTTCTCTTCTTTGTTCTACACAAAGTGTGTGATTGTGCGTGTATTGGAGAACTTGAATTTGGTGAACAATTTGAATCTATTAACTCTTCAATTTTCATGGGTGCTAGTGTCCCAGTATTGATCAGAACTTTCTGGGTTGAAGCCCGGGTTGCTTGTTAGTTGTTAAGTTTATACTAAATAAGTCTTCATTTTGCTTCATTGGTAGAGATAATTCCATTGTCTATAAACTTTTGTGATAGCATGGCACCTTATCTAAGTATTTTGTACAGTTAATTGCCTTTTGTTGGGTCTGTGCACCAGTCAACAACATCAATTTGGTCACAACTACTTATCGATGAGGACAAATTTACTAGAACTTTATCTTAGCATTGAAAGCATCTGCTACTCCTTTTAAGGGGCTTTTCCACATTTCACAACGGTTTTGCTACTTTGTTAGAACTTAGGAGTGAGGTCACCCGACCTGGTCGGGTTGTCTGAAAATGAAACCGAAACCGACCGTGTTAGGCAAAACCAACCTGGTCGGTTTGAGTCGGTTTGAGTGCTTGAGTTGAGGGGCTAAAGGAGTAAGGGCGGTCCAAGTTAGAAGTTACCAAGAAAAGAGAAAGTCAAATTGTGTTAGAAAAAGAAGACTGGAATTTGGAATTTTTAAGAAGGCTTATAATCTAAGTAAAAAAGACACCTAATTGTAATTACCTATTTGGTGTAAAGGACCTTAGAGAATAGGATCCTTTCTTTAAACCTTCCAAAAAAATGCAAGAAGCTATTAATGGCATTCCTTGTCTTGCAATGCTTGCCATTAATGGCATTCCTAAAGAGAAGACTAGAAAGTAGAAACTATAAGTAACTAGAATGTAGAAACTATAAGTAACTAGAAAGTAGAAACTAAGTTAGGTACTAACTACTAAGTACTAACTAGGAACTAAGTTGGTTCGGGTTCGGTTTTCATGTGTGGAAACCGAAACCGAACCGACCATCGGTTTATGCATTTTAGTAACCCGAAACCGATTGACACTAAAGAAAACCTGGCCGACTCGGGTTGGGTCAGACCGGGTTGGTCGGTTTGGGTCTTCTTATGAACAGCCCTATTTCTTGAAGGGGAAGAAGATATTAATCAGTGGTTTTATATTCCACTAGGCTGAACTCTGCCATGAAAACTGCTAGGCAGCAAAAGAATGCAGGTAAAAGTTCATAAAATGATAAAGAACATATCCCAATAGGCAAAATTACTGCAGCCTATGATTTCAGCAATGATTGGCATTATTAACAAAAGCTTCTTCATAATGAAATGATAGACAACAGTAAACACACATTTCTTGAAATAATGCTTTACAAGCCATACCTGCTGTTTATATTAGGGACGGCAATCATCAAAGTTACATAGATGCTGTGTTGGGATATGTTCTTTATGACTCTTGACCATGCTGGGTTTGAATGAGGCAACCCATATCACAGTTTCCTATTGTAATGTTACTAATAAATGATATTCTCATGACTTCTCTATTAGACTTGAACAATTACCATCAGCAACACCAGTTAGAAGAAGTGATTTGTTACAAGTTGAAGGGGCTAGACGAGCTAGGGGTAGACCAAAAAAGGACATGACTAGAAGTAGTAATAAATGATTTAAGCATTAATAATTTAACAGTGGATATAGCTTTAAATAGAACTGATTCACAAAACTGGATTCATGTAGCTGACCCCATATAATTGGGATAAGGAATTGATGACAATGATGATGATGAATTGAACAATTCCTCTTCATTGAATTCTTCCATCAGAAACCTATATGAAGTTCATATAAATTCCAAAAATAAAAAAGGGCAGCCCAGTGCACGGGGTTCCTGCCAATGAGTGTCTGGGGAGGGATACACAGCCTTACCCCACCCTCATATAAATTCTAAAAATAATAAAATAGAATTTGATAAGAATAGTAAAAATGGGATTTTTTTTAATGGCAGAGAGTTTTCATTTCTTTTTTCCCCCTTTCCTAATGTACCTGACCTGCTGATTCTCAAATTTCATGCCCCCTTGATTTTAGAGGCTGGGGTTTGAAGCAGTGTGTGTCTTGAAGGGGAAGAAGATATTGATCAGTGGCTTTATGTTCCACTAGGCTGAGCTCTGATATGAAAACTGCTAGGCAGCAAAAGAATACAGGTGAGGTTTCTGTAAAGAGCAAGGCAGATGCAGGACTTAGTTGCACCAGAATCAAAGCATCTGTGAAGAAAATTGGTGGACGGCGGAAAAAAGCAACAGGTAATATGTGCCATCCAAGTTCTATTCTCCAGTCCTTTCTTCAATTTGGAAGAATTTCCTTGCAATTTTCTCTTTGGTGTATAACTTTCTTCTCAGCACAGTCAGAAATCAGAATATTGGTTTTCTCAATTGAAAGAGTCATTTAAAAAGCCTGTATAACATCTTTTCCATGGATTAGCTCAACTTTGGGTGCATCTTACGTATAAATTAAGATTCTTAAGCTTGCTTATCAAATATCAAGGTGAATACATCAATATATGCCTTTCATTATTCCGTCTTTACTACCTAATTTTGCATGGTCTTTTCATTTTCTAGGGAAAAGTGATGCTAATTTGACTAAAAAGGATGAGCATCTTGTACCTTCCTCAGCCCAAACTATTTGTCAACAGCTTCCAGTGAAGGAAACAGGCAACTCAAATATTGTGACTACAGTTGAGACTGAGCTTGGACAGACACTACAACCTTCTGCAAAGATCAGGCTACAACTTTTCCCCATAGATGAAGGCACTCGCACAGGACTGGAGAAGGTAAAATTAAGAAATCTAAAGCATTTGATCATTTAGAAAGTTTCTTTTCATTATCCATTACATGGTAAGTTTATGAAGGCAAAACTTTGTCATTCTTAATTTCTTATGCACTACTGCAGGATGGTCATAATCCACACTTGGAGCTCACTCTAAGAGCTCGCAAGAAGCTAGTCTCAGTGCTGAATCATCTCCATAACAAGTGGGGCAGTTCAAGTGTTGCTGTGGGGGAGCTTATGCTTTTACCGTACAATGTTCGGCTGGAAAATTTAGCTGGTTACAGAAGATGGACACTGAAAGACAGTGCTATCAGTGCAGCAGATGTATATGAAGCCATCGGCAAACCTCTGATTTTTCGTTTAAGGTATCATTATATGAGGTTTATTCTGGGGTTAAACTTAAAGATTTACCCAACTTAACTTTCTCACTTGGACATTTCTTTCAATCAGGTATGGCTGGTTCTCTGATCTAGAATCTAAAACTCATAACAAGTCTCCTACATCTAACAACATTAGGGGTAGTTCACAATTTGGAGACATACATAAAAGTTTCAGTGAAAATGTGGAGTGTATGAATGGAGATAAACAACCACTTGAGGTAACTAGCTTGAAGCAGAGGCCAATCCCTGCTCCCCATCTGCTAAATGCAACTCTTGATAGGCGTATTCCATTGGATAGAACAGTTCTACTTAATTGCTGTTTTGTAATGTACATGTTTACTACTTGTTCTGATTTATATTTATTCTGCTATATGTAGGATAATCTGCGAGCAAGCAACACTGCTACACCATCATCGCTAGGTTGGGCTGATAGCTTAACTAACATAAGCATGGGGGGTTTGCTGTCTGAAGCCTCTCTACAGGGGAACGTTAATCGATGTGATCCAATGCCAATTGGGGGATCATCTTTGCAGCAGCTTCCATTCAGCTCTGATTCATTTGATGCTGCTATAGCTGCTCATATATATGGTCGATCTCAAGGCTCAATACCATCTTCTCATGTGTCACACTCGTCGATCTTTGATGCAGAAGAAACTTGCCATGCATTTCCATTTCAAAAATTCTGTTCATCAGGAAAAGAGTTTGTGGCTGCATCTAGAAGTGGAGCTTGTAGTCAGGATGCAAGTCTCAAGCCATTCAAATTCCCCACTTTGGTTGAGGTATGCTCTCTGATTCCATTTATTTTTGTTACTATTATTACAACTATGAAATAATTGTGTAAGATCAATTTGCTAGCTTCCAACCAACTGCACTACTACCAAAAAACCCTATTGCATTAAATTGTCAATTTGTCATACAGATTCAAGCACCATTAATCCCAGGAGTTGTATTTGAATTTTGGCCATTCAATTTTTGTTTGTTTATTTTGTTATGGTTAAAATGCATTTGTGTTGGTAGATGTTGGACAGATACCAGATCTTTATACCTTATTGTCCAAAATATAGATTAAATGGATGGTTCGTATTCGGTAGAGATGGGGAGGACAGGACTCACCAATCCTTTGGTAACCTAGTAGATTATAAGAAGGGCATGTCAACCCAGTGGATGACCCTAGCTGTCTGATGTGTCAGTCCTTCTTGGAATGCTAGATATTCTTTCTTGCCATTTAAATTGAGATGATTGCTTGGATGGTTAAAATGGTCAGTTCAATTTCACCTATGAAATATCCTAATCTGGAATTTGTTCACAGTGCACCCTGTTTTGGTACCTGCATACCGTGACTAAACACTATGTTGATAGACATTCTTTGGCATCTCATGGTTTGTTCTTGTTGCACAAGAAGAAATAGTAAACATTATTCTGATTGTAGACATTCCTCAGAGTTTGTTCCCATATTCCTAATTTTCCCATTGGATGTTTTCTTAACAATTAATCAATTAATGAAATCTCTGTTATTGATAAAAAAAATTATTTGCAGGAGGAAGCACAAACTGGAAGCACACAGGATCAGACTGAAGAACCTAAAGCAGATTTACTGCTCCAAAGGCAAGGAGCAGATAATGGTGAAAACAGCCTTGGGATGCCAGACATCAATTGGGTATTTGAACCTTTTCTTTAGATTCCCTTATTCAATAATTTTAGTGGTTAGTTGATATTGTATAGACAGGTAACTTGATTGTTTCCTTTAATAACCTGACGCAGAGTGATTCTTTGTGGTCCCCGGATCTGAGCTTATCATCATCTCGGCAAATCATCAGTGGAGATAGTATCAACTTCAGCAGTTTGTTATCTAGCAGTCTTGATGCATTTCAAAGCCGTTCATTCTTTCTAAGGGATGAAAAAGTTCCTCCTACTTGAGGAAAAAGAAATAGAGACAACACAAGCTTTCTGATGAAAAATCATCGACACTGATGATATGTTAGGTTTTAACAGAACGCATAGCATGATTAAACCTTTGCAGGCAGTACAGTGGTAACTCTAGGAAAAATCATAATTTTTTCAACAGATTTACACTTCACTGTTGCCTAGAAATGCAGTAATTCTTCAGGCAACAGGCAGTGTAACTGTGTAATTTAATGGTTATGGTGAAGATTTGTGGTAATGCTTTTTCGATGGTATATACTTGAAGCAAACACAGTTTGGCACAATAGAAAATGTGTCTAATTGACGTGGAATACTTACTGTAGATTTCTAATGTGTCATATGTGGATATATGTATTGACATGTATCTCTTTTTACTTCTAAAATGTAGATAAAGACACGTCTTCTTTAGCATACATTGTGATATGGGACTAAAACCTGTTCTTTTAAATCTGGTGACATGAATTCACAAGCAAGTGCATATGTAAATATGAGCCCAGATCTGCTGTTAATGTTTCTATTTAATCAACCAATGATAGCTGTTTAAACTCGTGTTACATTTGTCCATTAGTTTGGAAAGAGTACAAATACAAATATGTACAATGTAAATACAAAATTTAGGAATATAAAATAATGCAAAGTATAAGGTTTTGCACTCTACATATTTGTATCTGTACTTTTTCCAAACAGAGTTAGTGTTAATCATGGTTCAAAGTATCGATACGATATGAGTTTCGGTCGTATTGTATTGGTACTTAGAAACAGCTGAAACTTTATTTTTTTTTAGTTTTTTTTTCACATTTTGGTTTTTTGGGAAGCTTTTAGCATGCTTTTTATTATTAAAAAAAATGGGGGTCCGAAACACTTGGAAACAGGCATTTCGGACTGTATCTTTTTCAAAAGATATGATACGGTATGCCCCATATTGAGTGTATCGTATCGATACTTTGAACCATGGTGTTAACCAAGGATCAAAGTACTGGTATCGGGTATTGTATCATATAAGTTAGATACAGACACAGATATAGATATACTTTGGAAATACATGGAAAGTTGGAAACAAATGAAAGATATGGAAATGCCAAGGAAATGCATACAAATCACATGAATATATTAAAAATACTAAACCAAAGCTAGGTTATCTATGAATAAGATATAAACACGAGAAATGCATACTTCAATATGTTATATGAAGAGAAATATTAACAATAATGGGACTCTAGAACATTCAAACATCATACAATAATTATCACTCTTTCAATTATTATTAGTTTTTGAGAATATTAATTAATTTAGTATTTTTATTTAAATAACAATTCTTTTTTAAATAATAAATATGTTTTCATTTTTAACATATAATGCTTTTATTCTACATATAATTGTAAAATAAAACAAATCAATCATTTAAGGTAGATAAATTTTTTTTTTCAATTTTTATTATTTTTTTTGGGGAAATTAAATCTTAAATTATTCATTTCAGTTTTTATAATTATAATTTTCTGTTTTCCATTAATTTTATGGGGAGAATTTATTTATTTAATATTTTATATAATAATTCTATTTTTTTCAAATAATAACTATACTTTCATTTTTAACATATTATTATATATAAAATAAAATATATAAATCATCTAAGGTAGATGACAAATAGTTTGGTCCAAGCAATACAGAAATGATCTGTGTCACCATATATTCACCAATTAGAAGCTACTATTTGTCTACAGGCTACAGCATATTTAACAAATGGCTGATCAGTTGTCTGTCTTGTCATCTGATCTGCTAGCTCCTAAACGACTGTTCTAGTAGACCAAAATAATTGACAACTCTCATCCACATCACAAGTTAGAGCTTAGAGGGAATCAGTACAGTTTCATATTAGATGAATATACTTTCAATATTCTTTGGACTCTCAGGTAGATGTGCCACCGCCGATTCAACTACTATCAGAAATTTAAATTTCCAGTGGAGAAAGCACTTTTGTTTTAGCTAATACTATGCCATTGATGTATACTGCGTCATGCAAGGATAGAAGAAGACGTATCCAGCCAAAGCAGATAACAGTACAGCCAACACCTCTTCCACTTTGTGTTCCAAAAAAGGCTTCGTTTGGGAAGATTGCAAATACCACTTTAGTGACATATTTGCATTCAAAATGAGAGCAAAGTTTTATCTCTAAAATATGGATGTAAATTTTGCACTCAAAGTCGATCAATGTTAAAAAGGTATATCTCAGTCTCGGGATTTGCATTTGCACTTATCACAACTAAAAATCATTTGACAATAAACCAACTTTGCATTTGCATGGACCATAATGCTCTCTACATATTTGTATTTGCTATTGGCGCCCATGATTCAGTTAACTGAACTATGGAACTTTTTTTTTTAAACCGAATCAATAGTACTGGTTTTTGAAAAATCAGTAACCAAAACCAAATCGAAGCCGATTGATTAACCATCGGTTTTTTAGTTTTTTTATTTTCATAATATTATATATAATAAATATAAAATATTTGACTATAAATAATAAATAATATATTAATAATATTATATATGTATGTATGCCAGTCGGTTCAACTAATTGTCATTTTTCTTTCAAAGATACCAAACCAATTGGTTCGGTTAACTGGAATTTTCAGTTCAGTTTTATTGGTTTGATTTGATTTTTCGTTTTTTCATGATCACCCCTAGTATTTGCATTCTATTTGGGCTTTTCCGAAACAGAACTTCAAAGTGAAAATACAAATATGTTGAATGCAAAACCTTGTATTTGCACATTGCGCTGTACATATTTGTATTTGTAATCCTCGCCCAATTGATTGGTGAGCCTTGTCAATCGAACAATCAAGAACTGATTGTCACTAAGATGAAGCTAGGCAACAGAGAAGCGCTAGTTTGGTATGCATATCATATCATCAACTTATAATCACCGGTTTATGTTCACTTGTTCTCAATACTTTTTTTTTTGTCTATTTTGAATTATGAATGACTGAATAATTAGTGAGTGTTGCATGTCATATTGCATAGTATTACTATGCCAAATATTATAGAGTAAGTAAGTACATGTCCAAAACTGAATGTGGCAAACATGTAAATACTTAACGAATGAGTGGTAAAACTAGGAAGGACAGAGTATGAAATGAAGCTACATGAAGAAATCTAGAAATGGCTTCAATAGGTGATAAAATAAGAGAAACTAGCGGGTTTGCAGGGGCTACTGACAGGGTAATGATCTCCTTATGCTTTATATTCAAAATAAATACTTAGAATTGATTTTGTCAAGAGCTAGAAAATAAATGCTTTATATTCAAATAAGGCAAGAGAAGTAAAAAATCAAAATCACAATGTGTTGGTGTTTGTCCTATAATAATTGAATGAAGAAATGCTATATTCCCTTCCATTATAATCAACTTAAAATGTTTGTGACTTTGTATAATTGAAGTCTTCCACCCTTAATCTTGGCAAAAAAGAATGGCTTGTAGAATTGAACCCATTACAAACCATGGCACCTGCAACCATGACAAAATTAGCTGAATTAGTAAAAGCACAAAATCCAAGGAAAGCAAAACTCTCTTTTAGCAGAAACTTTTCAGTATACATAAAAGGACCTAGTTATTATCTCTTCCAACAAAAGTTTAGCAAGTAAATCCTGCTATTCTTTGGTCACTTCTCCCTACATTCTATTTTGAATTTCACTTGTTTCCTCCAAGTATTCTGATTTGGGTTGTGTATCAGATAGGACTTGCTTGAATTTTAATCTTACTGATCTTGTAGAACCACACTATGGGGATGTTTAATATGGCTTTCGTTTATTTAAAAAATGTTTGTACTTAATTTGTCCTCAAAACTTGTCGAGGATTGAAGTATAAGATTGGTAAAACTAAAAATATGATGGATTTAAATAAAATGATATAAACTCTATAACCAACACCATATAACTAATTAGATATAATGCCATCATCAGAAGTCAAAGTACTACAAGTCTTCATTATAAAATGTAAACAATGGATAAAATTAAAAAAAAAAAAAAGCATGAACAATCAATCGATCTACACATTAGATGAGAGACATAAAGATTTGAATAGGTTTTTGTGGTTTTGTGCCCCTATTCTTGCTATAAGATTATTGTTAGTAATATAAACCTATATAAGAAATAAAAGCAACCACCCTGATATAATGCCAAGGTTTACTATTTTAAACACAAGTAAACGATAGAATAATTCCTACATGTTATTCTAAGGATTAAATAACTCCATTAATTTATGACATCTTTCACAAAATCAGATTCATTGCTTCCAGATTCCTCCACTATTTCCATATTCTTTCTAGATAATTTACTTCTAAAATTCAAACTCAAACGAAAGTTTGAGGAAATTACTTCTGACAGTGCACCTTTGTTTCTCTTTTTCTCATTTTCAATGGCTTCATACCCTTTCTCCTTCATGCCCTTGTTTGAATTTTTGGTGTAGCTTTTGCACTCAAAATCTAAAATGCAAAACAAATTATGATAGAGAGATTCAAAGAAAAAATTGAAAGCAAAATACACAAATTAAATAAATAAATTTGGAAAAATTGCAATCTCATTATATGGGGTTGATTGCCTCTTGGAAGCATTTTGACTTTGCCTCCCTACCATGGGATTTTTGTCCTTCTCTACTTCCTTATATAAAAAAATAGAGTTGGGCCAAGTTTTTAAGTTTCTATTATCTTTGGGAAAATTTATGATATCAAAAGGATATGGTATTGGAAGAGCTTTGACCAATCAAAGCACTCCTGTGAATTTTGATGAATGCCATCTAATTGGTCATCTTTTTTTATGATACTTGTTGATTGGTTGTAAGTTTTTCTGGTATCATCTCTTTCAACTATCATAGTTCAACCCTTTTTGGCTTCCTTAGCCTCATGGAAACCCAAGCTTGTCTTAGGTTTTACTTTTCATATTTATCTTGTTGCCATGGTTCTACTTCTGTTTTATTCCCTTGTTTGGTGATTCTTTGCATTGAATACACTATATGAAAAAGGCATAAATATCAAGCAACCATAGAGAAATAGAGGAACCACACAAACCATAGGAAAAAGGCAGACTTTATTCCCAAAATCAGAAAAAAATAAAAAAATTAATGTTGGAAAAAGAAAGAAATAAAAATTTACTATTAACAAATTCTACATTATTGGTCCACAATAATTCTACATTATTGGTTCAATAAATCATTCCCGGAATAATTGAATTTTCCCTCTCTGCAAATTTATCTCAGCAGCCCTCCTAGAAGTTAGAAGCCCCTTTTACTTGTACACATTGGTTTTCTGATGCTTGCAGTATTGTACAAGGGGGCCATGACTTAGCTTTGTTCTTTTGTTTGCTAGATGTTTGAGGTTATCCGGGTCAGTGCTATTGCTGTAACAAATAAATAAAAAAAAA